TCTAGCCATGCTTCTGCTCACAATATCCCAGCCATACTGGTCTTTGGTAGAACCTGTCTCATCTGCTGATGGAAGTCCTGTTGACTTTCAGCCAGGCCCACCACCCTGTGAACTCCTGGAGGACAGAAACTGCCTTGGTTTGGGTCCGTACAGAAGCAGACCCAGAGACAAGGACTGAAATCAGTTTACTTAGGAAGTGATTCAGGAACTAAAGAAGAGACGATGGAGAAGGCACCCCACTGCAGCCACTTGGCTCTGCAGACAACTGGCACGCATTGGCACTGCTGGTTCTGGGGTTTGCTGGAGAACGCACACTTAGAGCTGGCCTCTCCGAGTGGCAGGAGGGGCAGGGGATTTATCTACCAACTCTCATCCGTCAGGGGTTGAGGGCTGCTTCCAGACGGGGCTCATTGCCTGGGACGTCCAGCCTGACCTCTGGCAGAGCAATCTAGACCCTGGCGACAGGACGTTGGTCAGCACCACTGGAGCAGTGAGGCCTTGGGGGTTGTGGGCAGGAACCTGCGGTGCCTGCTACCAGGGACTGTGTGTCTTGTTCACACATCTGCATACATTGTATGTTCTACCCCAGGCCTCTTGTAGCTTTCCTTGTTCATGAGTACAATGTTGCAAAAGCAGCTTTATTGGAACATTTTTTGAAAAAAAGTTACCCAAATGCAGTTAGACAGAAGGATAAAGAAGGTTGGGATCTGTTACATTGGTAAAGCAAAGTGGGTCCAAAATAGCAAGGATCAAATGGCCCTGGGTGCAGATGGAGGGGTGAAAAGGACAGCACACATAAAGGATCCGTTCACTTCGGTGGGGGGGGGTGCCAGATAACTGGCCTCAGGCAGGAGTTGCTCAGAGGAAAACTCTGTATCCCCATGACAAGCAGACATAGGGAAGGAATGGTTCCCTCTGGGGAGGCAGTTTGCCAGGGCTCCTATAGCAAGGGTTGGGGGAGCACTCAGGATGCAGGCAAGGGGGAGCGGAAGGGCCCCTCCTCTCAGGCAGCACAATATCCAGACATCCTATGTTCAAAACTCTCAGACTGGAGGCTGGCACTGTGGCGCAGCGGGTTAGGCTGCTGCCTGTGGCACCGGCATCCCATATGGGTGCCAGTTCAATTCCCAGCTGCTCCACTTCTCATCCAGCTCCCTGCTAATAAGCCTTGGAAAGTAGTGGAAGATGGCCCGAGTTCTTGGGTTCCTGCACGTATGTGGGAGACTTGGAAGAAGCTCCTGGCCCCTGGCTTCAGTCTGGCCCAGCTCTGGCTGTTAATGGGTATTTCGGGAGTGAACCAGCGCATGGAAGGTCTCTCTATCTCTGTCTCTCCTTCAAACTCTGCTTTTCAAAAAAAAAAAAAAAGACAAAACTCTCAGACCAGCCTCTTGCAGCTTCCTTTGTCCACAGTGGCCTGGGCCCCTTTGAATACATACCGTAATCTAAGTTTTCCTGGAACATGGTCTGAAAAACCAGCTCAAATGGACAAACTGCTTCAGATTCTCTGCCCGTGTTCTGGTGGCCTCCTCTTGTCTAAATCCTGCACTCTTGGCTACAGAAGCATTGTTTTCTCTGGCCACTCACACCAGCCCCCGCCCCCACCCTGGGAAATTCCAGAGGGCGGGAGCCCTGGTATCCATCAGTGCCTGGCAGATTGTTGGCATCTGGCATTCAACTCCTACCCCTTCATCCCACTGTGGTTCTTGAAAGGTCAGTCACCCACCAGAAGGGCTAAAACGAAAAAGGTGGGGAATGCCAAGTGATGGTGGAGTCACCAATCTGCTCCACAATTTAGCAATTTTAATCCTTGTACAATGCCCAAGGGAAATGAGTGCATACGTCCATCAAAAGGTGCACAAGAATGTTCACAGAGGGAAGCTTACCCAAATGCTTTGGAACATTCGAACAGATGAAGCATGGTCTAGTCATACAATGAAACAGAATACTACAATGAGGATGAACAGACTGCTGACACTCATGTACGCAACGGCACGTTCAGTCTCACATTGTGCTAGTCGAAAGACCCTAGACACAAAAATGTCTTACTGTACTTACAAAAAGTTCAAAGCCAAAGTATCCTACATTGTTAGAAGTCAAGAAAGTGGTTCCCTTTGGGATTTGGGGGGTGGGGAGGACCTGAAGGGAGCTCCTCTTGGCCCAGGTATTGATTCCAGAAGAGTATCTAATTTGTAAGAAGTGAGTTTTGGGGGCTGGCGCTGTGGTGAAGCAGGTAAAGCCACCATCTACAGTGCCAGCATCCCTATGGGCACCATAGCTCTCTGCTGTGGCCTGGGAAAGCAGTGGAAGATGGCCAAAGTCCTTGGGCCCCTGTACCCACATGGGAGACCTGGAAGAAGCTCCTAGTTCCAGGCTTTGGATCAGTGCAGCTCCAGCCATTGCCACTATTTGGGGAGTGAACCAGTGGATGGAAGACCTCTCTCTCTCTCTGCCTCTCTCTAACTTTGCCTTTCAGATAAATAAATAAATAAATCTTTAAAAAAAAAAAAAGAAATGAGTTTTGTACACTCTTCTGTTAGGTATCCTTTTCTGTATGTATATTTTAATTCAGTTGTTAAAAGAGAGGCAGCCAGCAAGCCTGGGCTAAAATGAGAGGAGAAAGGTAGTGCTTGTCACAGTCAAAATGGGAGGCCAGCATTTGCAGACACAAGGGATCCACTTGCTTGTGGTGTTGCCAAATAACCAACCTCAAGCGGGAGTTGTCCAGAAGCTGGCTTAATTTAAAGGAGCCAAAGGGAAGATAGTTCCAGAAACTGCCTCCCTGAGCAGCAGTTACCCAGGGCTTTTATAGGAAGGGTTAGGGGAGTATCCAGGATGCAGGCAAGGGGCAGCGGAGGGCACTCACGTGGGCTGTGCCTGTTCCAAACTGACTCAGGCCTCTTGCAGCTCTCCTGGTCCATGGTGGTCTGGGCCCCCTCGGAGTACAATGTTAGAGGATAAGTTTTACTAGAACATTCTCTGAAAAATAAGTTTAAGCCCGTCAACTGTTTCAGATCCTTTGCCCTTACTCCTGTGCACTGTTCTTGCCTAAATCCTATACTCTGGCTTATACTAGAACATGGATTTTCAGGATTTTTAAAAAAATTAATGCATTTGAAAGAGACACAGAGATCTTCCATCTGCTGGTTCATTCCTCAAGTGCCCACCAGAAAACAGGTTGGGCCAGGCTGAAGCCAGGAGTAAGAAACTAAATACAGATCTTCCATGTGGGTGGCAGGGATCCAGCCACTTCCGACATCACCTGCTGCCTCCCAGAGTGTACATTAGCAGGAGATGGACTGGGGAGCAGAGCCTCGACATGAACCCAGCCACTCGTGGGATGTGGGCGTCCCAAGCGGCATCTTAACCGCCGTGCCAAATGCTTGCCGCTGGATTTTTGGTTTTAGTCTAACTGCAGCCTCTTGTTTAGACACAATGGAGGTTTCTTGAGAGCCCGAGAGCCTGATGAGGCAGAGCGTGGGGGAGTGGGGAGCTGGTCCTCAGGGGCTGTAAGCCTGAAGGGCACGCAGAGCGGATGGGTAGGGAATGTCACCTATAGGAGACACAATGATCTCAAGTGCTTTATCAAACCCACATCGTGCCAGTCACCGCTGAGTAAACAGAACATAGCTGAATCCGTGCCCTCGCAGGGTTTCTGTCCTGATGGGCAATGTGTTCTCTTGGCCCCAGGCTGAGCTTCTGCATAGGGCTCCCCACTCCCATATACCCAGGTACTTGGTGGCTGGGCTAACAGGCCCCTTTCACTTCCATGGTCCCAGTAACTGCAGGGTGGAGGGGGAGGGTGCTCCCTTTCCACATGAGTATTGTCTGCTTTGAGGCCTATCTACCCTTGAGTTGGGAGATTGGCCCCAAAGCAGCACTTGGGTGGTACTCACCATACACAGGTAAACTAGGGCTCTTGAGACTCTGTGGCTTGGGGCTGGCATCCCTTCTGGTGGTAGGTCCAGCAGGCCACAATTCCTGCCAGCAGCCAGTGACAAGAGGTGTCTACACCCTTGGAGGCCCCAGTCAGGGACACGTACAGAGATGGCAGTGATGAGTATACGACAAGGGGATCTGACATGTGAACTGTGGAAGGAGGGTCACCAAGAAAAGGACAAAGATGCTAGGAACTCGAAGACAAGCCCACACTTAACAGACAGTCCCTGGGGGGAAGCAAAGATAGCCAGAGCCAGAGCCAGTCTCCCACCCCATCCGTGAGAGAGAGTAAGCAAGAGGCATGGGAAACAGCCTAATTTCAGTGAGTAGGCAAGAAGGGGGAAGAGTTCTTGTTGGACAGAGACACACAGAGAAGTGGAGTGAGAGAAAGAGACATGTATGTACACACACCAATGTGTTCCTTGAGTTAGGATCACCCAGACTTGGGCAAAAGGGAACAGACATCCACACTCATCAAGACACAAGCCAGGGGCAGAAACTCCAAAGCCTGGAGGGAAGCAGGGAAGGTGAGGAGAGACAAACACCCCTCGGCAATAACCAAAGAGCCTGGCTCTGGCTCTCCACCCTCCATCCCTGGTCCTCCCAGCCTGCTGCCTTCAACCACAGGAGGTCCCAGTGGGTAGCTTGTCACCAAAGATGGCTGCCACCAATTTCTTCCTGTATGCTACACTCCCCTCCAGAGGTGCTGAGCCACAGTATAAGCCTGCTGTAGAGAGGCCCCGTGGAAGACTGAAGTGTCAGCCTTGTGGATGAGGAAGCCATCTGGGACGCGCAGCCCAGGAGAGCCTTCGGAGGGCTCCAGCCACAACCACCATTTAATCGCAACTACTTGGGAGCCCAAGAAGAACCACCTAGCTGAGCCCAGTCAACCCACAGGATAAAAGATAAAACTAAACTGAGGCTTTTAAGCCACCAAGTTTAAGGGTGTTTGTTACATGGCAATGGATAACTAAATCACCTAGGAAAGGCTGCAGCAGCCCTTGTAAGGTCTGTCACACCCCCACCCTCATATCCCCCTCAAAACAAAAGCAAACACTTGCCAATCAGACTTTCAGTCCCTTTAATTAGGAGCTCGGAGAAGACAGAACGGCAGGCGGGGGGAGGGCAGGGTGGTGTTTCTTGAGCCCCACTCAGCAACTGGTCAGTTCTCATCCTCTGGCAGCTGGATCTTGCTGGGATCGAAGCAGTTGGATTCCATAAGGGGGAGACCATTGGCCTCTCGGTATTTCACAAGCCTTTCTGCTTCCCGGCGCGCCCATTCTTGCATCCTGGAGGCAGCAGCAGTGGGGGAAGATGTGAGGAAGCCTCACTGGACACCAATCCCCCTTCTCACCTCCCCATTCCCCAGTGGCGCCGCGACAACAGGGTTCCTTGCAGACACCCTTTCACCCTCCACCCCTGCCTCTGCCTCTGCCTCCCTAGCCATCCCACTCTCTTGGCCCACCCTCTGTACCTGTAGTCTGGCAGATAAGCCACGAACGTGGTACCAAGGACCAGGACAATGGAGAAGCCAAAGAAAAAGACAGTCCGCATGTTCCAGAGGTCCACAACAGGGTCCTTGTCGTAACCGTGGGAGTCCGGGTTCTGTGGAGAAGGAAAGGTCAGAGGGCTTCTGCTGCTCCACAGAGCCTACACCGGCCCGCAGAACCTGCTCTCCCCTCTCACCCCAGCCCGAACCCTGCCTCCCCAGAGTCCTTCCTCATTCTCCTCTTGCTGCAAGACCTCTGTACTTGCTGTTCCCTCTGCCTGCAAAGCCTTTCCCCCAAATCTAGCCATGACTGGATCCATCTCCTCATTCAGGGCTTTGGGCTTCATCGTCACTTCCTTTAGGAGGCGTTCCCTAGTCACCCTATTACATTGACCCACAGGAAACCGAGAGTTTTATAGGTCAAAAGAGGTTAAATTGTGGCAATTCCCTCAGCTCAACCTAACAAAATAGTTGCTCTACCCCTCACAGTCACTCTGTATCCACTTACCCTGTTAAACCATGTTTCTAGCATTTAGTTACTAAAGTAGCACCACCCCAGATCCCTGGATCCCAATATCTTATATTACCCATCACATCCGTCTGCAGGACTGCTTTCTAATATATTACACATTTATTTTCTCTCTTCCTCATTATCTTGAAAGTTCTGAGAGGACAGGCTTTGCCTGACTTCCAGACTCCTGGATCCTTAGAGCCATGAACTGTGCCTGGTGTATGGCAAGGCCTCAGTACATAGTTACAGAATGAACGAATGAATGAGAATCCTATATACACAAGCTCCTAGACCAGAGGTTAGTACAGATGAGGTACTTATTATGTGCCAGGCCTTTTCTTTTACTTGTTTTTCCCCAAAGATTTATTTATGTATTTGAACGGCAGAGTTAAGAGAGGGAGAGAGATCCTTCATCCTGCTGGTTCACTTCCTAAATGGCCGCAATGGCAGGGGCCCAAATACTTGGGCCATCTTCAGCTGCCTTCCCAAACTCAATAGCAGGGAGCTGGATAGGAAGCAGAGCAGATGGCATTCGAATTGGCGCTCATATGGGATGCTAGCATCGCAAGCGGTCTTTCAACCCACTGCACCCATAAGGTGGGCCTGTGCCAGGTCTTTCACATACACAAACCTCCCAACAGCCCAGTGAAGTGAGCAGAAAGTGGCGATAATAATCCCCTAATGCTGAGAGATGACAGAGTGCCAACTGCTGTTCTGAGCATTTTGGACTCATTCCATTAGAGCAGACAGATGTAATGTTTCATTTTTTAAGAAGGTGTCCTATGAATTTTCCCATTTTACAGACAAAGAAACTGAGGTACCAAAGGATTAAATTATTTGCCCAAGGTCACACAGGTGAGTAACTGTCAGGGACCGTTCTGACTTCAGAGTCTCTGGTATTAATACAGCACAGCAGATCTGCTAATCCAGTTATTTGAGCTTGGGCAAGCCGTGTATCTCTGTGTTTCTATTTCCTCATCTGTAGAATGGGTGTTAATCAAAAGTGCCTACCTCAAGATTGGGTGGTTTTGAGGATTAGATGAGTTAATGTATCTAAAGTGCTTAGACATAGACTGGCACCGGGCAAGCACCACCTCGGGGCTTTTAGTATTAGCATGGTTACCCTACTATATTGCTTCCAGAGTGTTTACGGCATTTCTGACTTTAGGTTTGCAAAATAAGGCCAACCCTGCCTCTGGCCCCGGACCGTAGGTATCAGGGGACAAAGGAAGAAAATAAGTAACCAAAATTCCCACGTCTTTAAGGATTTCGCCAGCTGCGCAATCCGCAGCTGCCTCAGAACGTCCTCTGCGGCGCCCCGTCCGCCAGTCCCCAATTGGCCCTTTCGGCGTTCCGTCCTCCCTCCCTCTCACCTTCTCATAGAGGTTGTCGTCCTCGGGATCTGGGTCCTCCTGCCAGCGTATGGTCGGTTCTGCAGGCCGCTTTCCCGCCACAGCGGACGGGGCGACCACAGCCCTGGAGGAGCTGGATTGCCAGCGAGCGCGGACAGCCGGGAGCGCTCGCGTAGCCGCTGCGGCCCAAAAGCGGCGAGCGCACAAACCTAACATCCCGGCCGCCATGACGAAGAGTGCGGCAGGGTCTCAGGGGCGGAACGGAAATGCGACTGTGCGCAGCTGCAGTTGGTCCGAGCGCGATAATTGTCGCTCCACCCCGCCACACTAAATAGGTCCCAGGTCCGATTTTGTTTGCAAGTGAGGCGGGGCGTCGAGGAAGAGCCCCCTTACCCTCCTGTTGTCATGGCCTCTTGAGAAATTTGCTATTGCTAGGTCTGCACATAACTTGATAGGAAGGAAACAGTGACATTTGGGTGGCCACGGCTTCCAGCCAATCGCCCAGAGAGTTCCCTTGCCCTTTAGGGAAAGAGGTGGAGCTTCCGCCTGCCTTTCATCTTCAAAGGAAGCCAAGCTTCTAAAAAGCGGGCCTCGCTGGATTGGCCAATAGCGACTTTTTCTCGACTTGTGGGGCGTTCTCACGGGGAGTGGGGAGGTGGCCTACGCGTGCCAATCAGAGGCGGCCAGGGCTGGCCGACGGCGAGCGGCGACCAATAGAAGAGGCCGGCCAGAGCGCGCTCCCTTAGTAGGTGGATGGTGGTCGGAGCGCCGGCTGCCTTCTTGTCGTCGCCATTTTGTGCTGCTGATTGCGGCCGGCTGGGAGTAGGCGGCCGTGAGTTTCCCTGGGAGGGCAGCGCACTTGGCGCTTCTCCCTTCTCCTGCCCCTCCTTTCTGCCTCCAGCTTTGGACTTGATTGTTGCGCGCTCCGGCTCCGACTGAGCTGGGAGACTTGGAGGAGGTGGCGGCGGGCCGAGGTGATGCCTGGGAGCCCTCCCTTGACAGCCCGGGCCGAGAAGGTGAGCGTCGACGCTGGTCGTGGGGGCGGAGGTAAGGGGTCCCGGGCGGGGGGTTGCACAGATGAGGCGTTGAGGGCGGACTGCGGGCTCGGGGCACGCGTGGATCGCAGGGATGCGTGCACGGTCAGAATCCGGGAGGGGGTGTCTTCCCCCCCCTCCTTGTGAAATCTAGGGCGCGTGCGCGATTGGGACACGGGATGGGTGCACGCGGGCTGGGGGAAGGGAGGGACGGATGGGAGTGGGTTACTGTAGCTGTGTTTGCTTGCAGAACTTTATGCAGGTGTCTGCGACTTGGGTGTTTATCCATAGGGGAAGAGGTGTGCTGGCTGCTCTCTGTGATACTTTGGCACTTACCGATCCATGGGGAAGTGCTCGGCGGCTCTGGTCCTTATTCATGGGGCGGGCACTGAGGGGAAAATGTGCAACTCTGGCCTTTATCCTTGGCGGGGCGAGGGGCGACTCTGGTCCTTATCCGTGTGGGGGGGGGGCTACCCTGTGACGGGCCCTTACTCATTGGATGGGAGAGGGGTGCAGAAAGCGTGTGTGTGTGGTGGTGGGGGGGGGAGAGACTTACCTCCCGTTCTTTTGAGGAGTTCATACCATTGAAACGGGGCTCTGTGTGTGATTAAGGCCCTCGCAGTGGGGTCTGGCTGTGATTTTGGCCAGTATCTGTTGTGGATGCCAGAGTCTGTTGAGGATTTCCCATCTGCCTTGCAATCGCCGGGGCCCCTGGTTGTGATTCTGACTTTACCCATTGGGAGCAGGTAACTCTGGTTCCCTGTGGTTTGGGGAGGAAGAGAAGATTGGTGTGTGTACATGGAGGAAAGGTGTGGTGGCGACGACCTCGTGTTGAGCAGGTGCTGTTACCCGCCTGGCTTCACCCGATTCCTGTTGAGAGGGAGGAGCCTGGAGATTGTGGGATACATTCCGACCCCTGCCTATGTTGTCACATAGTTATCAGGAGTCTTAGACCTTGCACAATCCCAAGGGTTGTATGAAGTGACTGCTCCAGCCCAGTAGAAAGGGCCTCCTTTTGCTTCTGGAACACTTGGGCTCAGAGCCCTAGGGAGCCAGCCACCTTGGGACCCGGCTGCACATCAGAGACAGGGCTGGGGGCTGAGCCAGTTGCCGTGCAAGAGCCAGGAGCCCAGGGAGGTAGCAGTTGTCCTGTTGCCGAGGTAGTCCCCTTCACACACACCTCCAGAGCCTTTCAGGGTGTCTTGCTGCCTCGCAGGGGGCAGCCAACATCTTGTTGGGAGAATGAAATGGTACCTTGGGGCTCATGGACAGAGCCCAGTGCCTGCCCGGATCTCCCACTATTGTAAAGTTTTGCCTCTGTGCCTAGACTTGAACATGTCTACCATGCTCAGATGGCAAAACCCTGGCCACACAATGACTGGCCCCACCAGGTCTCTCTGCAAGATGTCCCCTGTCTGATGAAGGCCTTGTCTTCCAGGGCTGTGGGCTCCAGTTTTGTGTTTGTGGGTAAAGGAAGGAGCAGCCCAAGTTGGGGCTGCCTTCTTGTAGCCTGATCCACACAAGCACTGGGCGTTGAAAAACAATATCCGTGGGCTACGGGACAGTAGAGAGCCTTGATAATGAGGGTTTCTCACTGCCTTGACCCCTTTCTTCCCTCTACTCTCCCCAGAATCCCTGCAGGAGGCATCACCCAGGCTGGCAGATCATGGTGGCAGCAGCGGGGGTGGCTGGGAAGTGAAACGGAGCCAGCGGCAGAGGAGGGGCCCCAGCAGCCCCCGCAGGTCCTATCAGGACATGGAGTATGAAAGACGGTGAGTTTTCTGCCCCCCCCCCCCGCCTTCCGAGGAGCCTCGGCTTGTCCCGGTGTGAGGATCCATCCAGGAAGGTGTGTCAGTAGGGGCCTTCCAAGCGAAGGATACAGTACAACAGGTGATTGGTTTCTTTTCAGCCGACGTGTGTTTGGCACCTGTTGTGAGACAGGATCTGTGCTCGGCTGTGAGAGTGCACTGATGAATGAGACAAATAAGAACGGCATCCCCTGTGCTCAGGATGTCACAAGGGGTGCCACACAGTTCATAACGGTTACAAAACAACTTGATGGGTAGTGTAGTTGGAGGTAAGGGCGGGAAGGGATCAAAAGAAAGGAGAGAATCGAGGCTGATGCCAGGTTTGCAGCTTGCGTGACCCGGATAGGTGTGTGGCACCATTCACCAAGGTGAAGGCAGACTCTGCAGGGGGAGGGGGAGGAGAAGAGGCAGGAGGTCAGGTCTGTAGACTTGGGTTTGAGGAATGGATGGGAATGCTGCCTTGAGTTAGGAATTTGGTCAGGCAAGCCAGGTCAGATAATGGGAGACTCCAGGGACAGAGGGGGCTGCACTGGGCATGATATTTTTCTTGAAATGGATACATTCACATGGTTATTTTTGTCAGCTGTGGTATGTGCAAGAAACAGTTGGAATGCTGGGTAAAATCCAGAAATCCTGGGTAAAATTCCATAGTCCTTTGCTATCCTGGTGGGTCACCCCAGGTAATTGTGAGGCAGGTGATACACCCATGATATTTTAAGATTGCCTGAGAAACCAGATCTAACTCTCTCAGAAAGCCTCTATTAAGAATCAACGGATTTATAAAAGGGGTGAGGAGAATTGAAAGATAAAGCTTAAAATATTTTCAAAGGATTTCTTCTACCATTAGCCCTCTTAAAAATGGAAAACAATATTTTGCTCTCTAAAAAAGGAGCCCATATTTGAGATATGATCTTCATCTAGTATCACTCAGTCTTGACCATCTTTTAAAATGGCTTTTGAAAGGCCTTTGATTTCGGACAGTATTCATTAGAAGTGATGTGTGGTCATTTCTGGGCTGGAGTAAGCGACATGCTTCTTCAGACTTTATCACCAAGTAAAGTGCTGCCTTTCCCTCAGCTTTTAAAGCGCCTCCAGTGCAGAGGTTTGAGTTAATCACACTTTCCAGTTCAAGGTAGGTTCTTATTATAGATCAGCACAAGACCTCCTCTTGCTATGTTTATGTTTTCATTTTTATTTCCAATTCCCACCTCTGTGGGCAGCTGCTCTGTTGTGTTGGATAGGTATCCTTCAAAAATAGGTAGTGTTGTTTTGAGTGTCTGTTTTCAATTTACACAGACAGCATAGTGCTACAGCCTTCGGTCTGTTTGCTGAACTTTGTGTTACTCAGCGCTGTTTAAGATTTATCTATATGGCAATGTGGGGATGTTAGTGCTCTGCTTCCAGTTGCTGCCAAGGGCACCATGGGGTGTGCCTACTGCATTTCACTTAGCAGTTTCTCCAAGAAGAGCACCTGTCCTTAATTTTTTGGAGTAGGGGGGCTTGCCATTTATTTATGACAGATATTCCACATCACGATTCTCTCCAATCAGAAGTTCTTTGAGAAGATGCCATCGGCCTTGATCAATGGGAGAATGTAGTCATCTGACTCACCCATCCTGCGAATGGCCTCTACAGATCAGGAATGTTTTAAACTGGCCATTAAGCCCGCCTGTGACCTTGTCAACCTCTGCTGCGTTCATCTGGATGGACGCATGGTCCTTGGCACAGATGATGTGTTTGCTGGTGGCACATTCCACCTGTTCTTAATTTTGATGTATTGAGATCATCCCTTTTTTGCCGTATGATGTATACTTTCACAGTCTTTCCTGCCTCAAATCACAATGATTCTTTCACTTTTAGTTTTACCTTTTGCATTCAGGTCTATAATCCAGCTAGAATCCACTTTTGAATGTGGCATAAGGTAGGTCCTGGTTTTGTTTTCCTCCATGTGGTAGACAGTTTTCCTGGTACCACCCCTCAATAGTCCATTCTTCTCTACTGATTTATAGTGCCTCACTGGATTTCAGGTTCCCCCTGTATGTACATAGATCTGTCTTGAGAGATCTGATTTGTTCCATTGCTCTGTTTGCTTATCCTTGTATCAGAACCTTACTGTTTTCATTATGATGGCTTTATATATTTTGTGTTAATGACTCCCTTTTTGCTCTTATTTTTCAAAGATGATTTAGCCCCTTGTGGAGCTTTATTCTACATAAAGTGTATGGAAACACTCAACAAGAATTTTGAACATGATTGCACTGGGGTTCTATATTAATTTGGAGAAAATGGTCAACTTTGTAAGTGGTCATCTCATCCAAGACCCGTATGGAGAATATTTTAAAATTTGTTTAGAGTGCATAAAAATCTGAATAAATCGAAGTACAGGTCTTGTGTATTTTTTGTCAAAGTAATCCCTAGGTACTGTAGTAGTTTTCATTGAAATCTCTATTTAAAATTATTTTCCCTGGAATTTGCTGGGACACACACACAAAAAAATGTGCTGTGCTCCTTTGTTATTTATTTTTATTTATTTATTTATTTGAGACACAGAATGCCCCTGTCTTCTGGTTTACTCCCCAGATAGCTATAACTGCTGGCCAGGACTGGGCCAAGGCCAATGGCAGGAGCTGGGAATTCAGTCTAGGTCTCCCATGTGGGTGGCAGGAATCCAAG